GTTCCCCAGTCCCGTGGATTCGGCGGCATGCCTGCGGGAGGTCCCCAGTCCCGCTGATTCGGCGGCATGCTTGCGGGAGGTCCCCCAGTCCCGTGGATTCGGCGGCATGCCTGCGGGAGGTCCCCAGTCCCGCTGATTCGGCGGCATGCTTGCGGGAGGTCCCCAGTCCCACGGATTCGGCGGCATGCCTGCGGGAGGTCCCCAGTCCCGCGGATTCGGCGGCATGCCTGCGGGAGGTCCCCAGTCCTGCGGATTCGGCGGCATGCCTGCGGGTGGTCTGCCGGTCCTGTCCCGCGCCTTCGGTGTACCCACCGCCGAATTGCTGCCGAAGCCGCGGGACCGGCGGACCTCCCGCAGGCATGCCGCCGAAGGCCGCCTGACTGCCGCCCTCGGAGCGAATGGTAGGCCGCCCTCCCCCCCCCCGCCCCGCGGCTTGCCGCCCCAGGCACGCACTTGGTGCGCTGGTGCCTGGAGCCGCCACTGACTGGAACAAATTGCCTGGGGAGGTTGTGAAATCTCTGTTATTGTAGGTTTTTAGCAGGCTAGACAGTCACCTCTCAGGGATGGTCTAGATGAGAGTAGTCAATTATTTTTTGTCAAGGTCCAAATTCTTCATCAATGTATAGTCAGGGGCCAAACTGCAGAGAAAATCATTTAAAAAAATAACAACAATATGTAAATAAAAAGATTTTGGGGTCCTTTCAATCCAGATTTGGCCCATGATCTGCCTATTGACTACCATGGTCTAGATAATACAGTAGCACCTCGGCGTTACGGACACCTCGGGAATGGAGGTGGTTCGTAACTCTGAACAAGCCGTTACGGGATGCTCCTCAGGGCGGACTGCTCAGAATGGGGGCTCACAGCTCTGCAGCGGCTGCCCGACAAGTTTCTGATTCTAGCCCAACTGCCAGGGTGATGAGTGAGGCACCCTGGGGCACTGGGGCATCAGTGGGCGCGTGGTGCAGGCTGGGGCCCTTTAAAAGTGAGCTGCTCCTCCAGGGCGCAGCATGCAGGCAGGAGTCCGGGCTCCAGCAGCTCACACTCTAGGCCAGGTTCCAGCAGCAACTCAAGAAGCTTCTTTCCTGGACTGAGACTAAGGTTGCAAGCTTGTCCCGCTCCGGCCAGAGGGGCAAACAGCCCCTGTGACCAGTGCAGACCCCAGCACTTCTGCTCGGGAGCTCACAGTTGTGCCTGTGAACTTCAGCGTCTTCACCTGTAAGTGGCTCGCCTGCTGCCTGGCAAGTAGGGGGTAGGGGCGGGGACAGGCAGCCCAGATGTGCCTAACTTTAAGATGCAATACTGGCACGGCACAGCACAGTATTTGTTGGGGTTTTTTTTCTTTTCGTCTCCGCTGCTGCCTGATTGCATACTTCTGGGTCCACGTGGAGTCTGGTTGACGGGTCAGTCTGTAACTCTGGTGTTCGTATTTTTGAGGTTCTACTGTACTTAGTCGTGCCTTGAGCGGAGGAGACTGGACTAGATGAGCTCTTGATGGCCCTTCCAGTCCTATGATTCCATGGAAAGGACTAATGTGGTTTTTCTAATCTGACTTCCTGCATTATACCAACAATAGGATTTTACCCAGAAATTCCCACAGTGGAGGGAATATTCATCCCTACTATTTAAGAGAACACAAAGGATCCACTGATCAAGTTCCAAATCTCAGCTGTATAGTGGTGTGCAGTGAGCCCCTGTGCAGCCGAACTCCTGGCCTAGGGTGACCAGATGTCCCAATTTTATAGGGACAGTCCCAATTTTTGGGTCTTTTTCTTATATAGTCTCCTATTACCCCCCACCCCCGTCCCGATTTTTCACATTTGCTGTCTGCTCACCCTATCCTGGGCAGTAGGAAGTATGCATCGCCTGTCAGTGCTCCTTAAACGCTACCCCAAACCTTTGCAGTCCAAGACTAGGTCTTTTAAGAATTCTCCACAGCTGCCAAGAAGGGGCCAGGCTTTACCTGGGAGCTGGGTTCATACTGAAACCTGCCTCTGTCCGTCTTCTTTTACTTCCAGATCTTCTACTGGACGATTTAGACATAGAAGCATCACTCCTGATCCCTTCCCGGAACCCCACCCCCGAATGCTACATGCACATAAAGCAAACGTTGGCAGATGATCTGTTTTGGTCATGAGGCAGAAGCATAGCTAATCCTCTGACTCTGTGCTGCTCTCTTCAGAAAACCACGGCAGAGTGTTTATTTGTAAATGGGAAGAAATAATCTGCATTTCTAAAGTTTTTTGAGACCATGATAAAAGTCACTTTTGAAGTGCGAAGTATTATTCACTGGCACTCTCACACTTAGCTGTACTCATTGCACACACCGAGGGCTCCTGACTTCCCTTCATCCCCCCCTTCATGTGCCACCCTCCCATCCCCCTCTATTTCACAGATTCCCTGCATCTGCCTACCCCTCCTTCATGTCACAGGCTCTGTCCCACGTTTCTTCATCTCGCCCAGCCGGGGCTCTGTGTGCCCTCTGTCCCTCCCATACCATCCAGTGGTTCTGTAGCCTCCTCTCCCCAGACCAGGGCCCCCCTTCTCCCCACCATTATTTCTTCTCTTTCTGTCTGAGAGAGGTGTCATTTGGGGCGTCACCATTTT